TATTCATTTGAACAAAATAGTGTACACTGTACGGTAGGCTGTAATTACATTAGTATATGCCAGTTAACTTTGAAGAATCCTGGCTGCGATTCTGCTTATAAATAATGTCATTTCTGAATTCCGCCTCTTTGCCATATTTCGGGGCTATAATGTTGTCAGATTTTATCAAAGCTGTTATTGCTTCTTTGAACAATTACAAAATTAGCAAAGTCAGTATTTTGAAAAGTAATAGAATAACACGCGGAGCCCCTAGGTTCTTCCCACGGAGCCCTGGGGCTCCGTACGGAGCACTTTGAGAACCTATGCGGTAGACTGATACCGGTTATGTAAACAATAATTCCACGCATTTGAACCAAAAACCTGTCTAACTGAACCATTAACGGATATCCTACCGTAACCTAGCGAGAGGCCGTGGTTTGCCATATGAGCCATTAAGCCGTCTCCTATTCTAATAATAACGTGAGACTGGAACGTTTTTCCATCATACCGGTAGCATGAGACTACTGCAGTATTGCTAACTTTTCTCTTACCATTCTTCCTGAAAGACAATAAATGTTAAATTCCACTACAGTATCCTGTCCATCGGGAAAAACCTCGCCACAGAACGTGGATTACCGACAGCCGCCTAAAAAGAACTGCGTGCTCGTGTGAAAGTCAGATTACGCGCTAATTTTTTCCGAATGGATGTTTCCCGAGCATCGATATCCTTGTTTGGTTCCGTGACAATGGGCAATCAGCAATAAGTTAATATTAACGTAACAATTGGAGTTTATGGAAACATTGTTTACGTTTTTTTGCGTGTTATTTGCCAGTTTTCAGTTTAGTTTTCGGAAAGTTATTGTAAATCATGTAACTTAATTGTCATTATATTTCTGGGGAGTTTAGTTGCAATAATCAAAAACTTTTCCCGCAAATACTGCGATGGACTGGGCTGAAATAGCTTTCAGTACCTGCAAGCGGCACTCGGTCGAACGATTTTAATAAAAATAATGTTTTTGAACATGTACACCAGTTTATCACCAAAATACTCACAGAATAATCATACAAAATTTTGCCATAGTTAGTATAGAAAGAATTTTTCTTGGGTCGAGGGTATTTCCCTGAAAAGAGAGTAAATTGTAGTAAAACCGCGTATAATGTTGCCGGTGAATTACAACGCAGGACCAACGTAGTTGTAATATCTGGAAAAATTATAGGTTATAAAGACCTTTCTAAAAATTTCCACCTCATTTTCTTTTCCACTGTGTGAAAGAGGAATAGTAATGATCAGCTTTTTATGAGCTGTTTTTATACAATTGCTCTACTCCGAAACTTAATCTGGACTGTTACCTGATGACAAGGAATGATATGCTATCTTATTGGTTTATTGGTGTTTTTTGACGGTTTCTCACTGTTTTTAAGCGTTTTAGCAGGGTTCTTGGTGTTTTTTGACGGTTTTTCACTGTTTTTGGGCGTTTTAGCAGGGTTATTGGTGTTTTTTGACGGTTTTTCCCTGTTTTTAAGCGTTTTAGCAGGGTTAATTTAATATAAAATAGTGCACAGTAAGAATGATAAATATCCCTAGCAGAATACTTGAGTCATTGAAGCACAAACTGGAATGCTAATAATTCCTCATTCTGGTTTACATAGCCACATTACAAAGCCTTATGATAGGTAGGCTATCATAATTGGAGATATAGGAGCACGGCGGGACAACTTGCTTAAAACGAGACTGTTCCGGCTAAACCGGGACGTATGACAAGCATTGGGCAAACTAGCGGATGTATTTCCACGTGTTTTAAACCTTTGCAGAGATTTTGCTAGTTTCCTAATTTTTTTAGTTGTTTTGTGGATATTTATGTATGTTATGTATATGTATATCGGAAAATCAAAGTGAATTCATACATATAAATAATAGTAAACTGGCGCAGGTATATTTACATGTATTAAACCTTTAAGAGGGTTTTGCCAATTCCCCCAATTTTCCCAATCTTCTGTGTCTTCATTGTTTGTGTTTTGTGTATTTTTTTTTTTTTTGCGGGAAAATCAAAATATACTTACTGTATACTATCTAGTGAAATATACAATGATTAACCACTGATAATTTCAAAGCAATTGATCCGAACTGCTTTGACGACATACTAACCAAAACCACTTCCAATCGAAGAAGTAATTCCAATTTATTTATACCGTTTATGAGTAAATCTGTGAGCCAGCATGCCCTATCCTATGCTATAATGGACTTAAGCTATGGAACTCTCTCCCCTTGAATTTGAAGTCATTAAAATTCAAAAAATCATTTCAGAAACCAGTTAAGTCGTACTTGGTATCCAAATACTAAAAGTTATTTTTCCATAACCACACTGATATAGACTATATACTCTTTCGTATGTAATTAACTACAACGTTTTAATACCTCGGACACAAAAAATATTGAACCTTTATGAATGGCCATAATAGAAAGTTGGGACACTCTTCACTTGCACATACTTATTTTCATGAAAATATTAAACAGCTACAATATTGCTATTGCCCCTGCAGCTGCTGATTGTTGTTGAGCCGGCAGTTAATCTCTCTCCACCTGTTCTACATCTAATGTTGGTGTGTCGGGTTCTGTAGCATGCACAGCAAATTATTTTATTTATTTATTTTTTAAATGGCTGTTTACACTCTGACATCTGCATGCGCATGTTCCCTTTTTGCTTAATGTTGGATTTTTGACATTACACATGCATGGTCTTTGTTTAGCTCCTGTACCTATTATTGTAATTAGGCGAAAAAAAAAAAGCCATATTTTTGCTCTATGTCCAAAAACGAAAAATGTGCTCCCCGTCGGGGAATCGAACCCCGGTCTCCCGCGTGACAGGCGGGGATACTCACCACTATACTAACGAGGAAGCCGCCGAACATAAGTGGAAATGGCGGTACATTGAACGGTCTAACTATCTCTCGTTTCAGTTCTCTCTCGGATCGCGCAAATTTTAATCGTATCCGTCCGGATTAAACAGCTGTTTTTTACGGCAATTAGCCGCACTGCTTATATATATATATATATAATATTGCTATATTGTACTGTATATGCATATTGAAATCAATAATAGCGTCTACGGCTACGGCTTAGATTAATAAAAAAATAAAATAAAAAAATAAAAAAGCGTCTACGGCTGAGGCCTGAATGGTTACCAGTAGCGACACAGGTTTCAGGAAAGTTGACGAAACCTATAAAAGGTTAACTAATAAAATTCGTTAGTTTTATAAAGCATATTTCATCATTTTGAATAGGACATTATTATCGCAAATATTTTAAGAAGGGCAACGACCTGAAAGGTATAAAGTCTTATCCGTAATATCCAAAACTTAATAAGTCGGAGGAATTTGTAAAATTTGTCAAATTTTAGTCGAAGTTTAGAATTTAATATACCGGTTACGCGCTTTTGGTCAAATATATATTTTTTAAAGATGAGCTTGAATGAAAATATATCGATGTAATTAAAATGTTTTGTTGAAATCGAAAAACATGCGTTCCCAGACCGGGAATCGAACCCGGGCCGCGTGGGTGAGAGCCACGAATCCTAACCACTAGACCACCTGGGAGGCGATATTTGCTTTGCTCAAATACAGACTTGTTGATCGAGTCGCGTTTCTCTCTCGTTTACTTAATTGAAAATTTCGAAACGAAATTGGTAACTTTTCCAGAGAAATGCTGAAAACTGTGACAATTTTTAATGACAATTTTGCCTCGTTCACACGCAAAGACCAAAGTCCGGTTTGATTTGAGACATTTTAATATGTGTGAAGAGAGAGATCCATCAACCAATATGTGTTGATGTGCTAATCAATTTATTTCATGTGTTCTAGATTTCCATGAATCTGAAACAATAACTGGTAAAGTTTTCCCATACCCGGAATGGACTGGTAACCGAACTCCTGCCTTGTGGACTCCCATATCCCCACGGATAAATATGAAAATCTCATCCCAACCCACAGACTTAGCAACATGGTACAATGTTTGGGTCTCATGTAGTTCTTACCTAACATACTTCTAGTGGGCGTAACATGACAATTTTTTTACATATCAATCCTAACCCCCACCTGACCACACCAATTAAAAAATTACGTCACTTCGACGTCACAGTGACGTAATAGAGCCCTTCAAACTATGCGAACTGTCATCCAAGACGCGCAGACGAGAACCCGAAATCGAACAGCCATTTCTCTCGTTTTCTCGTCGCAACGATCCCGATATGAGAGAGGTCGCTGACGTCAGTCAGTTCTTTATCGTCGGCGCCGATGCTATTTCGGGCGATCGTACGAGTATTTGGCAAGCTCTATGACGTGATTGTGACGTCGTAGTGACGTAATTTTTGGATGGCGTAGTCAGGTGAGGGTTAGGATTGGCATGTCAAAAAATTGTTATGCTACGCCTACTAGAAGTACGTTAGGTACGAAACTACACGAGACCCCAATGTTTAAGGGTATTTGAGGCATGACTTAGCAATGTTTGCAAACATCAGAATTGCCGTGGTGGGTAGTTCGGTACGACTGTACGGAACCGTTACTTTTTTTCTTTTAACGTTAGTCCAGTTTGTGTGAGCGATTGATTTTTACTGGTTGGAAAAATTAAACTTGACTCTGCTTGTATTGGATAATTTGAATTATTGATTTTAGGAATAATTCAGAACAGTTTCATTTAAAAATTAAAATGAACACAACAGTCTGACAGTGGTGAAATTTTAGAATGCCATCAGTGCATGATAATTTTAAGACATTTATTCATGTCTTTGCTCTGAACAAGGTCCTATACAAGCAGCCTTTGGTGTGTGACAATATCTGAATGTGTGAAAAGCCCCCTACCTATCATTCTGTCATTTGGAAGGACAGGAATCTTTGGGTGTTTATCATTCAGTCATTGCAGCGTCGCATGCGCAATTTATTACACCAACTTACACCATGGGTGAGGTGGGGTATGAGATTCCTGGATTTGTCAACAGTCAGTTTAGCAGTAGGAAATGTAATCTCATTTATTATCTCAGTTTAAAATAAACAATAATAAAAATTAAATAACTATAATGTCAGAGTCAAAATGGATACTTCATTACTGGGGCGGATTTGTTGGGCGAGCAGAATTTGTTAGACTTATTTTTGAAGAAGCAGGAGTTCCATTTGAAAACAATTCTGACCATTGCGAAGAATGGTTCCGTAAAGGGAAATGCAGGTAAAGATTAGAAAAAGTTTTCGATCATTCAAAGAAACCCCTTTCCCCAGGCTTTTGGGAAGCTTTATATTATCCCAAGTTATATTTCAGTATTTGGCTCAGTGGTGGGCAGGTCTGCAGGTGGGTGTCACAGTTTCCCGATTCCAAGAATAGCTCCCATGTCTGTATGTTAAAACATTAAATAAATATAACAGTAAATGCGAACCCATACTTTACCAGACAGTCTAGGCCTGGGCGAAGCCGACAAGTGGTTACGATTATGTGAACTACCCTGTGGTGGTGAGGACTGAGGAGACCAAATATTTTCCCGCAAATAATTACATCCATGGATTTAAAACATGGGAACCCATATATAAGGGTAATCAGGGATGCGAAAGCAAGGGTATTTTCAACACTTACCATGATGCCCCAACCAATCACAATTAACACCAACAACTTTCATCTTCAAACAGATTTGGTGAGGCCGGAATATTTCCTTCCTTCGCTCCACCGCTGCTGCAGAAAGGATCTTTCTATTTATCATCAACACCTGCTATTTGCAAATATCTGGGCAAGCAATTTGGTAAGTTGCATGCATGGAATATTGTTGTTATATTTGGTGGTGCTCTTCAAACCTCCTAGACTGAATTTTAAAAAGTATATTGAATATGATCGGAACTGCAAACTCTTTTCTATTATTGAAATTTTATGTTGCTGTGGTTATTTTACAGATACTATAATTAACAATATACTTCTGTATTTTCGAAACACATCCTTAAAAAAAGTTTTTTTGGCGTCAAACAGTATTGATTTTTTTCGCCTACCCTGAAATAACCTTGTTACCTTTTATCATTATTCACAAAGTGTATTTTTAATATTGCGGAATTATATGACTAACTGATGCTTCTCGTTCAGTTTACAGTCCATGTGAGGTATGGACTGATAGTTATTTGTTTCAGATGCATAGATTCAGTGGCGAGAAAACCATCCAGAAATCCATTATTTACCCACGCGAACCAATCAGAGGGAGATTTGTCTGGGGTTAGGGAACTATTATTGTAATTATCAAATACTTTTCCTCAGGTTTTTTTCCGAAATCTGAAGAAGACCAGGCTCATGCTGAGCAAGTTAACAATGCTATTCACGATTACATCGGCGAAGCAAGACTTGCATTTCATGGAGTGAACCACCTTGCTTCCTACTTCGGACAGGTAATGGGTTGGGCAATGCTGAATTCAATCAATGGCTGCTTGTACAGGGTATCGTTGGAAGTTAAAGGCCCGTATAAGCGTCCCATGAATAGTTTTCTCACTCTCACTTTTGCCATTTCAGTGGTCATAAATTAGTCTTCTTCATGGCGTGCCCATATTTTTGCACAGCGACGAGTCACCTCCACTTTTGAGTGAGTGCCCATACCTTTGCTCAGAGATGAGTCTCTTTTACTTCTGAGTGAGTGCCTGTAACTTTACTGAGCGATAGGTCTTCTTTACTTTTGAGTGAGTGCTCATAACTCTGCTCAGAGATGAGTCTCCTTCACGTCTGAGTGAGTGCTCATACGTTTACTCAGAGAGGAGTCACCTTTACTTCTGTGTGAGTGCCCGTAACTTTACTGAGCGTTGAGTCTTCTTTACTTTTGAGTGAGTGCCCATAACTCTGCTCAGAGATGAGTCTTCTTCACGTCTGAGTGAGTGCTCATACGTTTACTCATAGAGGAGTCACCTTTACTCTTGTGTGAGTGCCCGTAACTTTACTGAGCGATGAGTCTTCTTTACTTCTGAGTGAGTGCCCGTAACTTTACTGAGCGATGAGTCTTCTTTACTTTTGAGTGAGTGCCCATAACTCTGCTCAGAGATGAGTCTTCTTTACTTCTGAATGAGTGCCCTTTATTTTTCTGACTAAGTGAGTGACCTTTTCTTTGAGCAAATTTTTGAACAACCTTGGAACTTACTTTGTTTTATTCAATATACTTTTCACACAGGAGAAAGAGACCCAAGTCTACATTGACAGATTTATAGCGGAACGTCTAATGTTGTGGCTGAAGCATTTTGAGGCTGTTTTGAGACACAACAAGGGAGGAAGTGGATTTGTTATCGGAGATACATTGACCTACGTAGATTTAGGTGAGTTTTACCTTTACGGACTCTGCAATGGCCTAGCGCAGAGGTGTGCAATCTTTAATACAGAATAGCAAATATAAATAACTGGCTGAAAACGGGGGCCACATTGTAGGCACAAAAAAAGGCATTGTAACATCATACCCATTAATACTAAATTGAACTTGGTTATAAGATATTCAGCGCAAAGGGGTTAAATTCACTCACATGTACCAGATTGAACTAAATTAAAACTCATTTCGCGGGACGTACATCATTCAAAATTGGCACTTGTCCACAGGCCAATTGGATTGGTAATCGGATGAGAGGCTTTGCCGCCATAGGTTGGGTCACGTAACCACTGGTTACGGCCCTCCCCTCATCAAGTCCTTGTATCTGAAACAAATATCTGACTAACTAATCTCATACACATGGGCTGGTCAACAGGCTAGAGTTCGTAGCTTACTTACGGTTGAGTCGTTTAATCGACTTTCCTTTCTCCATGATATTTATTATTAAAATTCTATTCATTTCTCGTGGCGTTAGAACTTCGTATGCAAGAGGAAAACTACAAGGAAACAAAAAAAAAATTTTTTTGCAAAGATAGGGACTTCCACTTTGATAATTAAAATTTATATTATAACATATCATAGCAAAAAAAATGCAATATCATTCATTTTTGATACATCAAATTCAACTATTTTATCAATGAGTCTAATAATTTTTAATAGACATGTGGCCCGCCTGGAATGTTCCTGTGTCCCAGCAGCGGGCCATGGCCCTCTGGTTGAGAACCGGTGGTCGCATTGATGAATTGTTTTCTTCGATAAAACTCACTCATTATTACCTTTTTCAGCTCTTTTACACATTCTACGAGCGACAGAAGCCCAATTTCCGGAACAGTGGAAAGCTGCAGCAGCAGATTATGCAAAGTTACTTAACGGTTTCAAGGCGAGGATTTCTGCACGTCCGAATCTCGCAGCATATTTGGCGTCAGAGAGATGTGCGAAATTTTCTGGGAATAGCATGATGTAGAGCAGAGTTTCCCAAAATGGGGTGCGTGTACCCTAGGGGGTACGGGGTACATTTAGACTCTTCGAGGAATACATTAGATTAAATATATTCTTCCAATTTGCCTTACAATATTTTGATCACCTGATGTTAAAAATTTGGATACTCCATAAGTGTGTGTACCAATATGGAGGTAACTAATTTTGTTCGCCTACTTTACATCAAGTTATGTAAAGGGACTGAAACCTATGGGCAGGGGTATATTCACTTGGCTAACACAGACAGTCCTCAAACTCGTAATAGAACTAAAATAACGAAAATCGGAATAAAATCATGCCCTAACCTGGTACACATACTACAAGTGTACCCCAATTTGACCTGACATCCTTAGAAAGTCACATTTTCACCAATGTAGAACCACAGTAACTAACATATTTAATTTCATAGTTTCCATGACTTATGTATTCTAATCACGGTATGTGGTACAATTTTGGGATTACACAAGCGAATATTAAATTATTCAAAGACTATCGAGGAACTGAAAGTATATATATACTCGTATATAATCAACACATGAAATTTTGTAATTTTCATTATTCAATATGCCCAAGCCCCTAAATGTGGCCATACACCCCCTTAAAACACTCCTAAACAGGCCTTGAATTCTTTTTTTCACACTCGAGATTATCCATTGTGCATGTATTGCTGTAGTATAACCAATTTACTTCAGTTCACATTTTAAGATTTTGTGGAAATTGCATTTTTTTATAATAGTCTTGCTTCTAACAGCCGATCCTAGTAAGAGGCATAACACAATACAAGTCTGTTGAATTGTGAATGTGCACTAAAATATTCCTATAAATGTATTCCTTGTTTAAATAAAATTTTCTGTATAAATTCAAAAATTTGACGAATCATCGGTATGGATTAAAGTATTCATTAGGCCGAACCCCTTTTGCAAATATTTGCCTAAAATTTTTCGAGTGTTCGTTGAGCGGAAAAGCAAATTTAGTGTCTTTCAAAATATTTGATTGTTATCTTGGTCACCATGAGTTTGCTGAAATGGCGCTTTTGGACACAAATTTAACAGATGGATCGTTTGTTAAATTGTTGTTGTTACTATTCTTGCTGTTGTTGTTGGTAATAAATCTCTTGTAACTACTAGACCAAATGCTTTAAAAATTTTTAGTTGGTAAAAATTGTATTTTTTTCTCAAAGGCTATTACTTTTATTTATATTGAACCTTTCATGGGCTAATTCATTTTTTTCACTCAAAATTTTGTGTTACCTCATCAAAATTATTAATAATTAAATTAAAGCTTGTTATTGTCAGATATTACTTTTATTCATTTTGACAAATTTGTGTATTTGTATTTGAGGAAAAACAAATCTAGGATCTTTCCAAATATTTGAACCATGAATTTGCTACAATCACATATTTAAACAGTTCCAATCACGAGCACCTAATTCAAGATAGTGCATAATCACAGCTGATTAGTCGTGATCAGTCATCTGTAACCGATGACATCACTGATCATGCTCAGTCATCTGTAACTGATGACATCACTGATCATGCTCAGACATCTGTAACTGATGACATCACTGATCATGCTAAGCCATCTGTAACTGATGACATCACTCACTGATCATGCTCAGCCATCTGTAACTGATGACATCACTATTTATGATCATTCATCCGTAACTGATGACATCATGCTCAGCCATCTGCATAAACATTAGTCGCCAGAAATATAACAAGATTACAATAACAAAACAAATTGAATATTCGATGAATGTTCTGATTTAGCTTTATCAGCAATAGAAAAGTGTGAAATATTTTCATCCATCAATGGTCTGATCGAAAATATGCTTCTACTCATAGAATTGTAAAAATAAAAATTAATTTTCAATGATTCACAATGATTTCCCTGTTGAGCACGGCAAACTATTTGTGGCCACGATGTTGCTATTCTCTGTAATAATTTCACTGGCACATTTTATTTTTGATTATGATTTTGTTCACGTTCCTGATGTTCCTAATCATGCTTATATCCAGGGATGGGCAAACTACTGCTCACAAGGGCCGCACTGAATGGTTTGGCGGACCGGGTTGTGACCCACATGCCGTCTGTTGCACACCCTTGGTTTATTTTCTTTATGCTGCTTTTAGAGTCAAGTATTAGTTCAATATTTTAATAATGGTATTTCTGATTATGCATAATTAAAAACAAATAGATCAGGGCTTGTAAGTTCATGTTAGAATTTACACTTTGCATGATAATTTATTGAAATTATATTTTATAATTTTTAGGTGTTTATAGTTAATTAAATAGATAAAAAACTCAAAAATGGAGCCCTTACTTCAGCCAGATGCCAGGATATTCAAGCCTCTCAACATACCAGAGAAAATACTGATGGGACCTGGACCTACTAATGCTTCTAAAGTTGTGAGAGACGCCTGCAGTTTGCCAATGCTGGGACCGGTAGATAAAGAATTATTGCAAGTGAGAGAATCCCTATTGTTACTTATCGATGTTGATAGGTATTTGTCTGTTTGTTTGACTGGTAGATACACGCGATATCCCACGAAAGCGAGGTTTAATCTGATCCAAATTTTGCGTGTGCATTCATCATATCTCGGACCAGAAGCCTATTGATTTTGGATGAATTATGTCGTATAATCAGCGAGTTATTAATTAGCGATGGGACACGCGGTGTCGCTATTGAGTCAAAGTGAAGGGTACACGCCACTAGATCGATAAGTCGGTGGTCTCTGATCGCTATCTCGTTCCTCACTTGTCCCCTTTATAGCTCTCTTTCTATTTTTAGTCAGGGTAGATATACAGGGTGTCTACGAAGTCCTTTTACAATTTCAACTTTGTTAGGGAGTCAGTTCTCAGTATATCTTTATCTTATTAACCAGGTTTGATGTTTTTCATTCAGTAACTGTTTAAGTATTTTTTACTTCATTTGACTCATCTGTGGGGACCGAGACATTATATGGTATCGAAATTCCATTTATTATTATTATTTGAAGAATTTTAAAGGTTTATGGACATCCTATATATTGATGGGCATATGGCTAAAGCAAGCATGTAAATTGGGATTCATAATATGTCATGGTTTAGAATAGATATATGCATCAGTCTACTATAAGAGTTTCTAAATTTTTATTGTCTTGTTCTCTTTACGTCCGTTTATCAGTCTGGTATTGGAATAGTTGAGCCTGTTATTTGTTTCAGGTGCATAGAGTTAATGCTGGAGTAAGTCATAACCGATCAGTCAATATGCGAGCCACCCTAATTTATAATAAATACCATATGTTAAATATTCAACCCTTTTTTAGTTAGGCTTATTAACAAAATTTTCACAGCACACTTGGCAACTCGTCGCATTGCACTTTGGGAATCGCTGTCCTTCGATCCAAACCGACTTCGTTCAAACAGAGGCACTACAGCCTCCTTATCTTCAACTTTTATTATTTTACGCTCTCATCAAATCTAATCACAATGCATCTCCTTTCCACAGGTTATGGATGATTGCAAAGCAGGTATTCAATATCTTTTCCAAACGGAGAATAAATATACATTTGCTGTCAGTGGTACTGGGCACGCAGCTTTGGAATGCGCAATTATGAACATGGTAGAAGTGGGAGATCGAATACTTGTTGCTGAACATGGAGTTTGGGGGTTCAGAGCTGCTGATATGGTAAAGCGAGTGGGTGAGTAGCGTTTTTTTTTTTTATAATTCTTTTTGCAAACTTGTGTTGGGGCCACTATATTATATTTCAACATCGTTAAACGTGCACTTCCGTGGCCGGCTAATTCGCGAATTAATGCTGTTCACATTGTTTATTTGGCGTTACAGTTTTTCTCATATATAGTCAAGTGCAAATATGAGCAAATTATAAAATGACCTTGACTTGACTTACACTCAACAAATCATCCCGCACAATGGCATTGCCCGCCCATACAGCCTGTTTGTTCCATAATTATTTTATACCATTACAGAGCTCGAACTTACTTTTCTTTCAAAATATTTTTTGTGACTAGGTGGCATCCCGATCAAGATAACACGCCCCCCTGGAGAAAATTTCCAATTGTCAGATTTTGAAGAAGGATTAAAGCAAAATTCAGCAAAAATGTTGTTCATAGCTCACAGCGAATCGTCAACGGGTGTAATACAACCACTAGAGGGACTCGGAGATCTATGCCACAAGTAAGAGATTTTGATCATTAAAAATCGAGTGTTACAAATTACAATACAAAAGAGTGAATATTGATATTTTGAAAAAAATTTGAAAGAAATACATGCTTTTCAAGCTTGTTTTCTAATCAAAGTTTGAAGAGATGGCCCATTTATCAAAGTATAATTTCAATGTGGTTTGAAAGTCACAATAATATATGATTTCTCATTTTCTGAAAACTGGTCTATATAGAGTTTCATCATTTTGGATTGAGGTCTTTTGTATGTTTCTCTATGTTCTGATTGCGCACCTCCTGTGCTTTTGTATTTCGAGTTAAATTTGCTCAGAAACGATGGAATTTTTCAATGGTTTCCTGGGTTGACATCAAAATGGCCCGGGCTCCCACTTTGACATTAGAGCTTCATTTCTATCTCTGAGCTGGCCACGAACTCAAGGCTCATAGTAATTGATATGGCCACAACCATGAAACATCAGCCCAAATACAGTTTTGCAGAATCTGGACTTCGAACCCTGATGTTGCGTTTTCAAATTTTAAAATAAACTTAGAATATAAAAATATAAGTTGAGATTTTTAAATTAATATTGGAAAATCGATTTTGAAAAAAAAAATTGAAAGTTGAAAAATGATAGATTTTATTATTTGAACTGTATTTTAGTAGCTCTGGCTCCAGCTCATATTATTGTGGGGCAAGTGTGTAGCCAGCGCAAACATTGAGGGGTGCGACAATGTTTTCAATGTGAGGCTCACCCACCCGCACCATTCACTTATAACAAGGAAGGTAAATGCAAATAATTTTGATGGTGCCTAACCTCTGACATGGGCTTACTACGGCCTGTTGGCCAGATCCAGCTCGTTGGGTAATTCAATCTGCCCCGCTGAAGCTGCCAGATCCGATCTAAAACCAAATTTTGATGTTTTGGCTAAAAAATTGCTCAAGAAATTTGTTGTGGTTGCGATTAAATTTAGTTTTGGCAGAGGCTCATTGTTCTCCACTTTTGCTTCTGTAACACTGTAAATATTGCTCATAATTCACACTTACATGACACTTACATGACCCACCCGGCAGTCTAGAGGGGCAAAATTTTTAGCCCCTGGTCCAAAAACCTTGCTCATCTCTTCTCTAGGGGCCCCCCTCATTTGTCTACGCCTATGCTATTGGTCCAGCTCTGGTTTAAAACAATTACACCTTGGCACCCCATCCTTAGTTTTTATTGTGCTATCTTGCCAAAAATTATATTTCACAAATCTCTTAATTTTCGTTTAGATATAACTGCCTTCTGCTTGTTGACACCGTTGCTTCCATTGGAGGATGCCCGGTCTACATGGACAAGCAAAGTAAGAAATTTGTTTTTTATTGTGAACATTATTCTATAGTCAGTGGTTCTCAAACTTTTTGAGCCGCGCCTTCATTTTAGGAATTGTCAATTCTCGCGCCTCACCTCAAAAATAACCAGCGAACAATAAGCTACAAATAACAGGTAGCAAGACGAAAGTATGTTTTTTTCAAAAAACATGTTGAAAATATGTGGATGGAATGGAACGTAAAGATAAATTCCCATCCAAATAAAGAAATGTAAATATCAAATCTACCAAATATTTTTATTTTTAAATATTTTTGAGAGTCTTGCTGCACATGAACACAAACATATTACTGTAACGTTTCGCCTGACCAAAGTTCGGACTTCTTCAGACAAACATAACCATATTTTCCGGCTGATAATCAAATTTTCAGGACTCAATTATGGGCCTGGTGTTTTGAAGTCGTCTCAATGGGGGTTTTGGCCAGGGTGTAATAACTTATCGTAGGTGTGCAATGTAAACCAGGCAAATTCCGGTCCTATCAAATAAATTATAGCTTCTACAAATCATTACATATCAGTAGACAGTAGTCTTGTTCAGATCTAATAGCACAATTAAACATCTGATATAAAGGAAGATAGTTTATTTTAATTTCATTTGTTCAGACATTGATATTCTCTATTCCGGATCTCAGAAAGTGTTGAGTTGTCCTCCAGGACCTGCCCCAATCTCGTTTGGTTCTCGAGCAGTTGAGAGTTTCCGAGCTCGAAAAACACCTCCTGTGTCTTTTTATTTTGATTTTGATCATCTGACTAATTATTGGGGGTGCACTGAGGACCCTGTCAGGTATGTAATTTTATTTATTTTATGGATCAGGATAAAATATCATTATTATTCTGGATGGCAGGAAAGTCGTTAAGATGGCTTAATGACTTACCGCGGCCTCTTGTCCGCTAACAGTCCATGTTGAATATGGGAATGGTTAGCCAGTAATTAGTTTCAGATGCTTGGACTTTATGGAGGAAGAAGCGATAGCCAACCAATAATTACGTAAGCCACTCTGTGGCGCTAAAGAGCCCAGCAATTTTTATGGCCCCCCTGTATTTGACCTGCGAACCCACATCAAAGGTTCGACATATTCCTAGTGGTTCTGAAAATTCTAATTGCCAAGTTTGACCAATACAGCTAGCGAATCCAGTCAGAGGTCTAAAATGTTGGTTTTCATGAGTTTTGATGGTCTAAAATGCGTTTTATGCTGCGAACAATTGCTATGTATGATGCATAAAAATGCTTTATTCTATTTTTTTACATTTTCAAGGGGGACGGAGGGTCTAGCCCCCAAAACCCTTCTAGTTACGGCCCTGTACAACTGTCTTGAAATTGCACATCTCTGGTTCAAATACCATGCCCCACCTTACCCATGGTATAATCATTTGGGTAGGCAATACAAACCAATTTTTTTTCAAGTAGAATAGTGACTCAATAAAGACTGTTGTGTACATTTCTCTTGTTTTTTATATACAGATACCACCATACTGGTATGATGAGTAACCTGTATGGATTCCGTGAAGGTCTTCGCATTCTCGCGCAGGAGGGTTTGGGGAACTGTTGGAATCGTCATCTGAAATGTGCAGAATTGTTCCACAGCACACTGGAGACAAACGGATTTGAATTATTTGTCAAAAATAAGGTAAGCTCTCTCTCTCTGAATAGAAGTCTCCTAAATCCAAGTTTCGAATCAACTCGAAGGTCAACTGGGACCAATTAACCGGTTATAGGTTTCAGATTTGGGTGTATCTATGTCCCTGGCAAAGTTTGAAAATGCGTCCCTGTGATCGTTGATTTGTTGAACTGAGATACATACGTATGTTATTATTTAAGTAAAAATACGAACTTATTTTTAATTTAAAATTATTTTATTGAAAATTTCACGCTTTGCACTTTTTGCATTTTTCGTGCACCTTTCCAAATGGTACCAATGGCAGCCATAAGATAGCGAACCCCTGCAGAGTAATCAGAGGTGCTATGGCAAGCATAATTCTAATGCTTAGCACAATGCATCACCCACTGCGGCAATAGGTAAGCGATTCATAAAAAGTTACACAATGTGCCAACCCTCTTAAATTTATTTTTCAGTCTGCAAGACTTCCCACTGTCACAGCAATCCGTATCCCAAAAAATGTCAATTTCGCTGAATTCAAGTCTCATGTTCTAAAGAACTGCAATATGGATATAAGCGGAGGCCTGGGTCCGACAGCGGGTCTCGTGTTCCGTGTAGGATTGCTGGGCGAAAACTGCACTACAGCTCGTGTCGATATGCTCGCAAATGCAATGGTCAAAGCTTTGAAATTTTGTTTAAAAAAGTAATTTTTCTTGTTTTGTAATTTTGTCGTTGGTGCTAATTTTGGTAACTGAAATTTAATGACCGATGATTATATATAGTTGGAATAGTTGCATTTTAAGCTCTAATGAAATTGAACATTTCAATTTAACTTTGTAAACGTTGCCCAGAGACGAGTCTTTTTTACTTCTGAGTGAGTGCCTGTAATTTTATGTCGTACTCAAATCTCACATACTAGCGTCATTTCATGCATGGCCTCGCATGATTATACAACAACAAAACATATTTATCGTTTGAAACATTGAATTGTTTTGTGCAATATAGAACGCCGAAAACTGCTGCTCTAATGTAAAATCAAGTGTTCCCTTTGTTCGTATAGAAGTGCTCCCATGCAATAAAAATTTTAGGCAACACTATTATAATAAAACATTATTTTTTGAATAGTATTCGGTTCTAGACATTATTTTAAACAGTTGCATTTTTTTGTGTGCAATAAGGAATTATGTGTTACAGGATTTAATTTTTTTATTATTATCAAAAATTTGAATTTCTCGTAGCTGAAAGTTTGGTACTCCTGAAGTATGCGCACCAAGATGTCGCACAACCTGAACCCTGACCTGGTACACAATCTGAGTTCAGGTTGTGCGCCATCTTGGTGCGCATACTTCAGGAGGTCCGAAAATTTTTCTTTGCTCTGAGTCTGAGCTCCCATACCCCCAGGTGTTAAACGTTATATAATTTAATCATGACTGTTACATTTTTTGCTTTCAATGGTGATTATTAGTGCAACATCAGCTCTGTTCAAATATATGTTCTTTTTTAATCTGTATTTGCTCTGAAGAAGGCTTTGAACAAGCAAACCCAGATTAGAATTAGTACTGAAGCAATACAACAGGGTGTCCATGAAATCCCTTTACTTTTCAATTCCAATTTTATCGTGAAGTCAGTTCTCAATATATCTAAACCGGGTTTGTTGTTTCTAATCAGTAACTGTTCAAGTATTTTTACTTCATTTAATACATCTGTGAAGGCCAAAACAATATATGGTATTGATAAATTCCCTTCGCAATTTAAAAGAAAGCTAAGACATTATGGACAAAAAATTCAAGAAAAGCTGAATATTCGATACACCTTATACATCCATATTTCAGATAGAATGACCTCACCCAGTGTGTAATAACTTGATATGCCTACATGATTGCCCTACATATGCTTATCGTGTGTGCCAAGCAATAAAATTAACAATAATCGAATATACCAGGGGTTCTCAAACATTCATGACCATCGTTGCCCCCTTTTGTAAGTTTTATAAGACTCTGCTCTTCCAAAAAAAAAATGTTTCCATCAAGATACCATCAGTTACTTATTTTAGTAATGAAAGTAAAAAAACAAATGCATTACACTTAAACCTCGTTGATCATTTTTTTCTGATTCAGTGGAAAATCAAATTGCCAATTTCCTTATCTTAATTTGTGTGCAATGAAATATGGTAATAAAATTTGAAATCATTTAGTGCGTGTTTTCATTCGATGTAGGATTTTTTAATTATCCCGGAGAAAAGAAAGTTGATGAAATGGTTCAATCAGGGTTAGAGCTGGGCATTTTCGAATACCTGAGGATTTCTGATCAAATATTTTTTTCGAATCGAATCCCGAATACTTGTCAGATATGTAATTGTACGCGACTTTTTTTATTGTAATATGTCCTTCCAACGAATGAATTACTGAAAACGTAGAATCCATCAGTCAGACAGATTACTGAGCGCTCACGCACAATAAGAAACATGTTTTTGTAATACGTCACTACAGAAAATAGTCGTATGTCAGAATTGGGGGCTCCCGAAGTATGCGAACCAAGATGGCGGACATCGGAATGTAATATGTGTACTAGGTTAGGGTTAGGCCATAATTTTAGGTATAAATACTACGGGAGGCTCTTGGCTAGTCTTCGAACTCATAGTAGGACTAAAATAAGGAAAATTGTAAAAAATTATGGTCTGACCCTAACCTGTTACCCATGTTACGTTCCGATGTCCGCCATCTTGGTTCGCATACTTCGGGAGCACCCAGAATTGGATTGAAAGAATATGTCTTCAATTTAAAAAGATTTAGGAATTCACGTCGACCATTGACGGTAAGAAAAAAAAGAAGATGGCGGCGATTCAAAATTTTGCTCTAAATAATTTACTATTCAATTCGAAATGCCCATCTTTAATCAGGGCGTCTCAAAAGTGTGGTTCGCTTGTCATTGGAACAAGTGGGTTACGACATTTTCGAGACACCGATTTAATCATCAGATGAACCACGGCTTCTCATATGGTTGCCTATGTCGGGTATCGGAATAGTTGACCAGTTATTTGCTGCCAATGCATTGACTTGGTGATTGAGAAAGACGTGACTGACTCTAATCTTTTCCATCGGGATTCGAACCAGCGCTAGTTTTGTGCCAAGCTCGTTCGTAGCGCTAAGTACGACCATCCAACTGTCGGAAAGGGATACCGTTCGAGTACCACAAGGTAAATCTTAGAATGACTATTCAAGATTGTGTGATTTCACAATCACAAATATGATATTTGTTGTATTTGAGAGGAAAAAGGAAACATTCACAGATTAGAATTTAAATTCAATTTAAATTTTTTTTTTTTCAAGATTTACGTATTCGAGTCGCCACCGATCCTAATAACCAGTATAATCAATCAAAGCTTTCTACATCTTTTCACGATCCACTAAGATTCCTTTTGCGACCCATAGTTTGGGAACCGCTGTATTAGAGTTATGTAAAACGTTTCATTTTGATGTAGCTACTGTACAGAGTGTCCATAAAATCTGTTTTCAATTTTGTTATGAAGTCAGTTCTTAATATATCTTAACCAGGTTTGTTGTTTTTAATCATGAATCGTTCAGGTATTTTTACATCATTTAATACATCTGTGACGGCAAAAACAATATATATATATATGGTATAGATAAATTCCCTTTGCAATTTTAAAATATTTTAGGACATCATGGACACCCTATATCAGGGCTACTCAACTGACGCAAACCGCAGTCCGAGTCCGGACCTTTCTAGTGCTAAATTTGGTCCGCAGCTGCTTTTTGACTTTGAATGTATATTTTCAATTCACAATGGCGATGTTACTTATGCAAGGGTGTAGCCAGCCCAAATCGAGGTTGGGGGAGCAAATATTATAATTTTGAATTGAAACTTGCAGCCCATTAATGATCTCCGATATCAATCCCCGGCAAATAAAACCCCCGGATTAGCGTTTAGTAATCAGAGTCGGTATCCCTGAGTATTTCAAGTTAGTTTGCCAAAACAAACTGTACTACACTACAAAAAATTGGAACAGAAAGTCGATAAAACCTTTATGTTTATCACGATGGAGATCTCAGTGATCTTGTGATCCGATTACCGGTATTGTGCATGATTAGATACACGTACTACTTTGTTCTGGACTTCGTGTCCATTTATTTGGGCATAGCTCTGTTGTTTCTTATATTGCGCATTCAGTCCTTACTCAGAAAACACAAAGTCTCTCAGATCTGACGTATTTTATTCAGTCGTTATTGCTTTGTTAATAATTTGAAAAAATGAACAAAAAGCAAAAATATTGCAATAAGCGTGATAAAAAAATAATAGAAAAAGTCAGAACGATAGGAGCTTCGTAGAACAGAAAGGAACACTATGAGAACTAGTTTAAAATAACATAGAAATGTTTTAATCTAAGTTTTCGTGCATCCACTCCTAACAAGGCTCTGTAAAGCAGACACTAAAACCTGAGCAATTAATACCACCCCGGTTAGGATAGGATTTACATATTTATTCCGGGGGAAAGGAAAGGTATTAAGATGACTTAATCACACGACGAACCACGGCTTCTCGTCCGGTTACCAGTGCATGTCGGGTATGGGATTAGTTAGCCGGTTATTTGTTCTCAAATGCATGGTCTTTGAGGTTGAGTTAATAGTAATTTATGAGATATGAAATATCCTAAAATAATCACAATAATATATTATATCAATCTGCTTTCATCTCTGTTTATTTGTTATAGAAACTATCATAGAAGTCGGAGTTTGGTATGTTTTATTGTAACTGTAGTCGGAGTCGTGTTTTTAAGCTCCCCGGATTCAGAGTCGTAAATTATGAACCTGGATCTGGAAATTAAACCCCGGATTCAGAGTCAAAATGTATTAACGCAGCGCAGGGTGGTAGTCGAAATTAAACAAGAGAGCTATGCTCAAATATATGGACACGTAGCAACACCCAATGGCAATAACTTTGATGACGTCATAGCGAAAAAAAAGTAATAGCCGTCTGGAGAAAAATTTTATCTTTAACCACTGAAAATTTCAAATCAATTGGTCCAGTATTCGAAGAGAAAGGCGATTTTTTTAAAATGATGGAGACAAATAATAACAATAACAACATAATATTGAAACGATCGTTATGTCCACTTCGTGTCCAATAATTCAAAGTCGTAAATTATGAATCTAAATATATAAATCCGGAGAAGGGGTTAAAAATGTATGAATCCGGAGTCAAATTTGTCAAAATTTATGAACGCAGGGTCGGAGTTAAAATAGTACGAATTCTGAGTCATAATTTATGAATCCGGAGTAGGAGTCAAAATTTTAGTAATCCGGAGTCGAAATTTCACGAACCCGCAGTCGTAGATATTTTGCTAACCCGAAGTTACACACAATTCTAAATATTCAATATAAATGTAAGGTAATATTATATCGAGGGCTTTGAAACGGAAGGGCGAATATTGAAAATTCAGTCCAGAAGTGTCGGCACCAATATGAAGGTAACTAATTTAGTTTGCCTACTTTACATCAAGTTGTGTAAAGGGACTGAAGCCTATGGGCTGGGGATATATTCACTTGGCTAACACAGACAGTCCCCGAACTCGTAATAGAACTAAAATAAGGAAAATAGGAATAAAATTATGGCCTTACCCTGACCTGGTACACATACTACGGGAGTACCAAAAATTCAAATACAATATTGAAAGTCCATATATTTGAGCATCGCTCTCATGTTTTCGTGACTGTATTGTAAAATTGAAATAGAGTGACGGTCACAAATGAATCACGGGAAATATCGTTGTCAAAAGGAGAACCCGGTAGGTTAAATTTTTTTATTTTCTTCATATGAGCGAGTATTGTAAAAATGTTAAAATTTTAGCATAATTATGTTTGTTTTGAACAACTTAAAAGATTACCCGTAGAAAACCACAAAGAAATATCTGCTTTTTGATCCGATTTTCCAGTCAAAATTTGAAGCAATATTCACTATTTAAGAATTCAAGTATCAAAACAACAAGTTTCGGGAATTTAAAAATCAAAAATATGTGTTTCCTCATTTTTTCAATTCCCAGCCTCTCAGATTGGAGCCCTTTATAAGCTATAATTACATTATAAAGCGAGGTAACCGCCCTTCTTTTTTTTTACAAAAAAAAGGTTTGCTTCTGTTTTTTGGGGACGCCCATTAGTCGGGTCGCCACTTTTAAAGAATCGACTTTTAAAATGAAAAAAATAAGCGCATTTTGGAACTTGATAAGCGAGCAGCAATTGTCTATTCATTAAAATCTTAAATATATATTAGTTAAAGCGTTTGGAAATGTGTGCATAAAATAGAAGAAACTTAAAATTAAAAAAAAAGAAAGAATTTGGCAATATATATATATATTACCGTGTTTCATCGAAAATGAGATCTACTCTGAAAATGAAGCATATCTTGAATTCTCAAAATAATTTTAATATAATCCCTACCCTTAAAATGAGACCTAGTCAAAACCGCAAATTTTTTTTTCATCTAGACCAGTGGTTCCCAAACTAGGGTCCGCGGACCTTTTGGGGTCCGTGAAGTACTTTCCGAGGGTCCGCGAAAGAAATCTGTTGGATGGCTCAAAGTTTGATAATGCAAAAATTAACTGCTTAAATTTGGAAAGACACATTTATCGCATTATGATGCTTTACAATCTCTGCTGAGGACACTGGTTCTTCACTTTCTGTTTCGATTAGGCTTTCCCGATTGTGACGTCACAAAGCTATGGCAGCTCCTGTCACGAACAAACCGCGGCGTCTCATGCCATGGTTTAATGGCGCTATAATTTAGTGATCAGTATTATCGGCATATTAACAAAGTCATGTGCCGTATTTTTGTTTAATATACAGAATTATATCTACTTAAATCTGGAACCAAACCTCAAATCCATTAAAACTGTATCGATAAAAAAAAAGTACCAACCTACTCATTGTTTGTCACCAACAGGGGCAGCCCTGCCAATACATCAGACATGCCTTGGTTACGGCATCAAAATTTTACCCGACATGATTTTTTAATTTGCTGCCGTGGTACCGGTTTGGGGCAGCTAAAAAGTCAGTCGCCGTGGTTTGACCGGAGCTCCAGGAGTAATCTATGCGCACCAAGATGGCGCACAACCTGAACATGGTATTGTGTACCGGTTAGGGTTCAGGTCGTGCGACATCTTGGTACATATGCTTCTGGAGCGCCGTTTAGCCATAGCGGCCATTGTTGGGAAATCCCGCTAAATACTTAAAACTGCACTTGGAAGTGTAGATGGCGCTGCCTTTTTGCATGCTTGTTGTTATAGGAGAGAATTACAGTAGGTAGTTGATAAAGTATGCCACTCCGTTTCTAAATGCTGTTTTACGCTCTTGTTTTGAAAGGTAGATAGCGTTAAGTATAGCGCAGTCAGAAAGGCACTACGTTTTAGTTTTTAGATGTCAAATTTAGTCTTTGACACACGGTAACGGTAGGCATATATTTTTACGTTTTCAACTCTGTATTATCAATTTCAAAATGTCTTCTAAAATTAAAATTGAGATAATCGTATGTAATTTTATCGTGATAAACGCAGGTGAAGATATGTTTTGCACTACACCGTGTGGAGCATTTATTTTTGTTGTGATCTTGTTTTATGTGATATCTTTCTGTCTTTCTTTGATAATGTTTTATTTTAGTCAATTAGTGCACAGGGCCGCGAAACAAAAACAAAATTGCAAGAGGTCCGTCAGACAATTTTTTTGAAAAAGTTTGGGAACCACTGATCTAGTCGATAGCTCTCCTACACGTTTTAAATGATTGATAATCTATGTTTTGCAGTTATTTTGAATAAAAACGTTTCACTTACAAGTAAATGGATATTGGTTTTCCTATTTTATATATTTATAAAATCTCGTAATTCTCTACTTTGTAACCTTGTTTTTGATGTATATAAGACAATTTCCATTTCCTCTATTTCTTATGGTGCGTGTTTTTTTCCAGAATTTCGCTGTTTTATTTTAATAATATTGGAAGACGTTTTATGAAAATGGGAACATTTTATTCGTATGCTTTTGTCTGCCTACGTCATGATTGTGAGTCAATCTTTTCCGCAAAGGCGTTATTTCAGATACAACCATTATAGAATTGTCGTTCGTACTGCAATATATCAGATATGGACACGGAGACAAATATTGAAGGTTTGTCTGGCGAAAAAATAGGCGATACCGACACTGTGCAGTTGTACTGCACTGCAGTATGCGAGTTTCCCAACACGGATACAAACGTTGGTGGTTTGTCTGGCGACAAAACTCGGCGGATACTGACAGTAGAGAATTGTTTTCGTACTGCTATATATCAGCTTCCTGACACGTAGACAAATGTCGGAGGTTAGTCTGGCGACAAAATCGGTGATACCGACACTGTGGAGTTATGATCCTACTGCAGTATGTTAATTCCCCAACACGGAGACAAACGTTGGTGGTTTGTCTGGCGACAAAACTCGGCGGATACTGACAGTAGAATATTGTCATCGTTCTGCTATATATCAGCTTCCCGACACGGAGACAAATGTTGGAGGTTTGTCTGGCGACAAAATCGGTGATACCGACATTATAGAATTATCGTCCGTACTTTTGGGCATTGTGTCGTCATTGGAGTTAAGTTCTCGTGAATCGATTGTTGATGTTATATCACGTATGACGTAACAATCTGAAGCGTCTTCTTGAATGTCTTCAAGTGGCTGACGTATATGACGAAATCTTGGAACAAAAGAGGAAAGTTATACATTGTAGACACGACATGTGGTGAACAAGACAGCAACGCTCAAATACCGCGCAAAAGTCAGAGTGATATCACTAGCTAATAACCCACTAAAGATTGAAAAACAAAAACGGAAACAAATTTAAAGGTACTCCCGAAGTATGTGAACCAAGATGGCGGACACCAGAACATAGTATGTGGACCAGGTTAGGGTTAGGCCATAATTTCAGGTACAATACCACGGGATTCACTTGCCTAGTACCCGAACTCCGAATAGAGCTGAAATAGGGAAAATTGGAAAAAAAAAATATCCTAACCCTAACCGAGTGCACAAACTACGTTCCGGTGTCCGCCATCTTGGTTCACATACCACGGGAGCGCGAAATTAAATGCATAGTGATAGAGAAATGCATCTAGAATCCAGTTTACCTTGAGGAGCTTCCGGATGATGACGTCGACGATGACGACGAAGTTGAAGGATTCACCGGAATTGGGGTATTCGTCGTAATTGGGGAGTTTCCCATCATCAGTAGTCTTTCTTGTTGTATTACATCTGGGGATTCTCCGTGAAAAGTCATTGGGTAATAAGCGGGGTGGTTTCTGTGAAAACAATCTGGGCACGGGGAATACCCACGGTGGGGATTTTTACAATATTTATTTCTATCGTAGGGAAACCCCCTAGATATTTTTATTGCTTCCCCTTCGTCAAAGCTGTGTTGATGAGGCAGCCTCTTTGGCGCCAAGCGTGGACTCGATGTCACGTGATAGTTTTCTGGAAAGCTCTCGGTTCGCCTAAACGGCAGGTGGCGCTGGTGAACAGACCTTTCCTGTTCCATTTGACACCACGTGCAATGTTGGGCGGAACATGATTGTGTAGGGGAGTTACCTCGATTTGGTGAATATTCATTTATATTGTTAGTAAACCTCCGATCAGTGGGAAACCCCCGATTGTCTGTAGGGAAGTCCCCTGGATTTACAGGCGGTCTACCATATTGCATATATCGGTGTTTACTTCTGACAGAACTTTGAGATGTTGGAACTTTCCGTGCGCTCATTACAATCTCATTGTGGGGTGACTCCACGCAATCTCGCATAGGACTTCCCCTTCTAGTAATGTCGGCGACTTTGTCAACCAAGGGACTCTCCCTTCTGGGGTTTTCACCTAAATTGTCTTGTTTTAATGGCATTGACCTGCTTGTCCGTATATTCGGGGAATTTGGGTAACTTCGTGGTTGAGTTTCTTCGTCTTGTATGACGTCGCGTGCATTGTACGTCATAGAACCTTTTAAAATGTCTATTGTGATGTCGGAATCTAAAGAATAATTGATAATTGAAATAAAAATGCATTACCATGTGGTTTACAAATTCTAAAATCGACAGCAGATGGTCATCCGGTCAGTAATTGGAATTTCGTGTTTTCAAAGCCGATTATATAAGATTAGTTGTAAAATCATAAACAAACAGTCAATGCGGAACCCGAAGATACATTACATGAACAAAAGGCGATCTCATCGCCATTCGACAATGATTTCGCACTCAACTAAAAAGTGATAAATTGTGCAGACGAATTAACTTCTGTTAAAAAATCTTAATTTTTGTATTGCAGGACTGACCCCAAGTATAACGGATTGCACGGGGACCCCAGTGATTTCCATAAAAACCCATGAGGGTGAACAACCCCCTAAAATTTCAAACACGTGACATCACACTTGAGTTTCTAACTTATATATAATTGCAGTCAAATATAAAACACACTTTTATAATTTACAAAAGTTACTTCGCTAATAGCAAAATTCCCATATCTTGGAAACGGCCCCGAGATTCGATTCGATTCTGAAATCATCAGGTATTTGAAAATATCCAATCCTAACAACTACCCCACAGCACTGGGCAAAATTTCTTACCTAATAAATCGGCAGATTTTGTCCTTCGACTTACAACTGAAACATTCGGTGAACTGTTATATTTTGTTTTCTGCAGCTGGTTTTCTGTCTTTTCTAGGTTGTTCAGTTGTTTCTCGTCCGTGTAGATGTTTTGTTTGCGAAGAGAAAATGGCGAGGTCGTCTGTGGAGATTTGAAACAGAAATCGAAAGTGAAATATTTAAACTAGCAGTTGAAACGTTCTGTGGTTCCCAATCTTTTAGGGCGTGTGGTCCTTTTCTGGAGGCTTTTAGAACTCATTCTTGACAGATTGCAGAAGAGAGTTGCAAAATAACTGATAATAATGGTAAATACCGTATGGATTTTGCAAATTAGCCAACTAACATAAATTATTAGAGATTATTATTAAAAATTATAATGTAATAAATGAGCCATAAAACCGGTCAATAACCTGGGAACTCCCGTTTTATACTGGAATACCTGTAGCGAATGTATTGCTCTGCAGAATAGCTGCCAATATCTATTTAATGAGGTATTTTATTTGAAGTTTGTGGGTAGAAATGTTGTAAGATAGTTTATCAAATTGTTACGTACTTATGACATCACGAAATGACGTCATAAACGTTTATTCATAGTGTCGACCTCACCTTAGCAGGACTTTTGATATTCATATCACCACTTTGCTCAGATGTGACGTCACTATTGATTTTTGTGACGTCATTATTATTGTTGCTTTCTGCGATTGTTTTCTTTGGTAACGCTTCAATGATCACAGTTGTTGTTTTATATTCAACCTCTGGTTTTGTGTCTTCGTCGCCAGTTAGCAAGCTCAAGGGCGTGCTTCCAAAACGAGGTCTTTCAGCTTTTCTAAGAGCCTGGAAAACGTAAGATTTCATGTAGATTCTAATACAAAATGATATAGCTATGCTGTGCACTGGTTCCCAACCTTTTTTTATTGAATTTCTCTTTTTGCCTACCCATGTGAGTGCCTTTTCAAACTTAAAATGTCGGATTAGGATTTTATTCTTGATAGGGAAAAATCTGATTGTAGACAACGGCCACGCGTTGTGACCTGTGGGTCGCCTGTTGTATAGACACGTAGATCGTTTGAAGCGATATTTACCAAAGTATTTCTAAATATATGAAAGTGTTTAAAATAAAATTGAATGTTTTTTTTATCAAAACGGTACGGTCTCCTTATTAAACGGTTTCCAAGTCTCGTATTTAGAGGTCCGTTATTTATATATATATATAGAGAGAGAGAAAATAAACGAAACAAAATAAACATATATGTTTCCTCTTTATTTCTCAAAACAGTTGTTCTAAGTTTTGCATTTTGAGTTGCATAGAGAGAGAAAGATCTTAGATAATGGTCGCATGCACTGTATCCACTGGTAGAATATTCTATTTCAATATTTTATTTATTTAATAATAACCTGAGCGAGTGTTTTTCTTCCTTTCATACTTTCAACAAAATCGGCTGATGCTGATGACGTCAATTTACTTCGCTGTAACGATTTCTTTAACATTCGTGTTTGCTCTTGAGTGACGCTGTCACGTGATACGAGAGTAGAACCTAAGAAGAAAAAGATTTAAATAAAATCCCAATATTAAAGAAAATTTAAAAATGAAATTATGAAAACTTTCCAATGTAGGCTTATGGTATCGACTCGACCGTACAGCTCGGCCGTTGGAGCATCGTGTTCAGCGTAAGGAACACGTTCGCCACCGCACCTCTGATTACCCTGCGTGGGCTGCAGATTTGAATCTTGTGGGGGGAAATTATGAGTTGCTGGACTCCTCGCCGTCTTAGAATGTTCCACGTAACCGCTGATCGAATACGACTTCTTCCATTATCCAGTCTATGTATATGAAACAAATATCTGGAAACGAATTCCATTTCAGACATCGGCTGGTGACCGAACGAGAGGCTGTGGTACATCATGCGATACAATCAAGGATGCTCCAGAAGTATGCGCACCAAGATGTCGCACAACCTGAATCCTATCCGGTACACACATACTGTGTTCAGGTTGTGTGCCATCTTGGTGCGCATACTTCTGTAGGTCCCGATCAAGCCATCATATCGGCTTTCCTCTCCCCTGGGGCAAATATGAAAATTTTATCCTATTCAAACCCAAAATCGGTTATAAAACCAGGGGTGTGCAACATTTAATACAGGTGGGCCACATTCAAATAATTGAGAGAAACCGCCGGCCCCACCTTTTTTTAACATAGGCTTTCAAGTATTTTCGCACACAAAAAATTTGGTTAGTGTGGGCGGGCCGCACAATTTTTCCTTGTGGCCCGCGGCCGCAGGTTGCACATCCCTGATAGTTGTCCTTGAAAATAGTTTCAGATGCGTGGCCTGAGAGATAGCTAACCTCAGATATAGGAAACGCTGTCTGGTTAGGTTATTTTAAGAAATATTTCGCATAGCGATTGAAAAGAACTGTCCTTTCAACCTAATTTTAAAATTCCAATCTGCTGTTCCTATTGGCCACAGAAAACAGGTTCAGTTATGCTTGACTAAGCACCGCCACGCTTGGGCATTGATTATGATCATATAATATGGCTGGAGCTTCCGTCATTGCCATAAAATGACTGATTGAAACCCCGAAAAATTGGTATTTTTATTGAATATAGCAGGCTGGGGGTTTGGGGAGGGGGCACAAATTCTGGAAGTGTGATGGAAGGAGCCATGGTTCATGAAAATATGAGAATATCTCCAGATATTCCACCAGTTTCTAATTAAAATTAACAAACCGGTAAAATCGAGTCGCTCCAAGTACATTCAAGGATATTTATTGCCGCTGGATCATGCCTATTACAGGCCCTGAGCACTTAAGGCTACCCTATGTATATAAAATAGAAATAATAAAACGAGAATATTGGTCAGAGACCGAAGACTTATCGATCGAAAGTTAGGGGATCCCCCAAAACAGCGCTCTTACTCCATAGTGACATCTTGTGTCCCATCACTAATTAATTGATAATTCGCTAATTATACGACATAAGTCGCCCAAAATCAATAGGCTTCTGGTCCGAGATATGATGAATGCACACGCAAAATCTGGAGCAGATTCAATCTCGCTTTCGTGAGATATCGCGTACATCTAACAGACAGACAGACAAATACCTATCAACATACTTACCGATTAAAATCGATAATTAATAAGTGTTCCATGTTATCTAAATAACTTTCAGTATTCACTACCAATTAAACGATAAGTTAAGATATTTTTTTGGAAATAATGCTCATGCTTATAAGCATTTATAGAGGGGTGTAAGATGGTACTTGAGAAAGAGAAAATAATCAATAATCAACAATATTGAGGTCTGAATTGCCTGACCAACTCTAGTTACTTTTTTAAACCTCATCACGAGGTTTTTACCCGAATTCTGGCAGACAATTCCGATTCAAAATTTCGCTATTTAGCTCCACGAGCTTGTTCGGTAAGAGATGAATAATCGTGTTTAAAAAATAAAAGGCCAAATGTATTTAAGACACCATGTCTCAAATGGTGGTCCAAGGTTTCAAAATTTTCCAAGGAAATAACTTAAATTTTTCGCTTATACTTGGTTGCGCAATCGCCACGCTTGGCTGATCATTTTTGAAAGCGATCAACCTATAAGGATAAGGGTTTGTTTTCGGGTTTGTTTGGTAAACATGTTACAAGCTATCGGGGCAGAAAATTAAGACGAATATTTTAAACTTTTGACAAACTTTGACTGAGCGATTTTTCGTGAAAATATTTTTGTGCTATAGAAGTTTTATACACTTTTTTATACGGCGGTTAACCGATTTACCGATTATTTTCTGTGATTATTAGGACGCTGGAATTAAGGATCTTTTCTTTGCCGTAAGCAAGTAAAATTTAACAGTTTACCGACAATTATTGAGCGATTAGAGTTCCATATGTTTTCTTTAATGAAGTATAACCAATCGTTCAGATAATAGCAATAGATGATAGACATGGTTCCAGGGCTCAAAACTCAGTAAGAAAAACTATGAATGAAAAATAGTTCACATACAACAGCTAAGCTAACGTTTATATAATAATAAGCACAATGTAACAATCGGGGTTATTGTGACGTTATGTTCATTGATATTTTCAAAAATTATATTTATGAAACCTATAGTCGTAACCAAAGGGGCCAGATGAAACACTTCGGTGGGCCAGATCTGGTCCGAGGGCGGTAATTTGCCCACCCCTGGTTCCAATTTTCATACAGCATGAGTGTTACGGTTGGCAAATGAAATAAATATAACATTATCCTAAGACCTAGAACAGAGTGGTTCAAACCCAGGCCCGCCGCTTCAATATCTGTGGCCCGCGTCGCATTCGGTGAGGAATCAAAAAATCGCATTTAGTGTTGTTTCGTCATAAATTAACTAAAAATTCTTTTGACATATTGTTGCATCACTAATGTCATAGAAATGACTAGTGTTATGACTTGCTGAGGCAACTAGCATAGTTAAACGAGTAAAGTTCTTAGCACTATTGTGGCCCGCGAACAATGCAAAAGTAATTTTGTGGCCCGCGGAGCTGACAATCTTGGACCACCATTACCTAGAATATGCATGGGCCATTGCGCAACTTGATACTTGTTCCAAATTATGACCACGTTTGGCAGTGATAAAATATATTTACATATGTTTTCTTTAACCGTCAAGCATGAAATTTTACCGGGTTACCGATGATTTATCATGAGTTATCAAAAAGTTGGCATTACAGACATTTTCTTTGACCGTTAATCAAGTAAAATTTATTTGTTTACCGATGATTTTTCTGTGAATATCAAGAAATTGACGTTACAGACAGTTTCTTTAATCGTTAACCTATTTACATACCGGTCTACTATTTTACTTATTATTATAATGAGGGTGGCCAACAGTTGGTGAAGTATAACTAACCGGTTTACCGACTATTTTCCCGCAATTACTACTTCTGCGATGCATTGCAATATATTTTTATCGATGAACAAGTGAAATAGACCGCGACCGGTCCTGAGATTGGTGAGAGTCATAAAATTCGACGTGGCGGTATTTCGTAAAAGTATTTTGTATTCGACAACTACCCGCTCATTTCGCTCCGAACAATGCACCGTACAAGTTTCAACTGATATCTAACATTATGCGAGAAGCTACGTTTTGAAATGATCAGAAATCACTACGGAAAAGGCTTTGTAAAAGCAGTTACTGCTACGGATCTACTGTGTATTTAGAAGAACCGTAATTTTTCGCATCATCGAAAATTTGGTACTCCCGTAGTATGTATACCAGGTTAGGGTTAGACCATAATTTTATTACGATTTTCCTTATTTTAGTTCTTTCACGAGTTGGGGACTGTCTGTGTTAGCCAAGTGAATACACCCCCTGCCCATAGGTTTCAGTCCCTTTACACAACTTGATGTCAAGTAGGCGAAAAAAAATTAGTTACCTCCATATTGGTACACAGCGCCGGAGCGCTGAAAATTTATCCGTTTAACGATTTAATTTTATGGGTTTACTCAAAGATTGGCGTTACATATGTTTCGTCCCCATTAATCAAGTAATTTCCCGGTTTACCATTGATTTTTTTTTGAATAAATATGGGGTGATATTGCTACCATCACTTTATACATGTATTAATTTCGGACCACGCTTGGCAGTAGATAAGGCGTCAGTGGCCACTCGCAAACTAAAAAACGTAGAACTTCACACACTCACCTCTGCTTTTGATGATCGGAACAATGTCAACACAAATACAGATGACGATAGCTGCAAGAGCGCCCACTAGCAGAACAACCGCAAGAATAACAACGTACATGTGAAGCATCATATTTCCGCCTGCGGAATGATAGCGTGTTATTCAGCTTCGATTGAGAGTCAGAAACCAGTTTCCAAAACCTATACAATATTTGTGAAAATCCAGTTCCTCCACTTGCCAAAATCCAGATTTGGAATAGGAAAGCAAGTTTCATGCAGACAAATTAAGATCCCGAAAAAATCTGATTTCAGAGATAAAATCCAGTTTTACTATTTGAGAATCCCCGTTCGGAATCCAGATTCAGAAAAAATAAACCAGTTTAAAAAATTGGAGAATCCCTTTTTAAAATCTAGTTACAATAGCCGATTAAATCCACTTTCAGTAGTTGAGAAATCAAGTTTGAAAATAGAAAAGCCAGTTTAAAAAAAATCCAGTTCCAATATTCAAGCCACTTCTTATTTCTTCAAGTTCGTGAAATATGGATTCAATTGTGATATATCCTTTTGCATGATTTCTAGGCTCTTACATATATTGCACATTGAGTTGCAGCCAATTCTGTGCGATCTAAGCCATTTTATTTAAAGTTATAAGAAAAAATTTAAACTATAGTTCTGTAACAAAAAATAGGGGAGTATTGATAAAGATAATTTTTTTTGAAGTAATCGTGTAATTAAAACATTAATTAGCAAATATGAATTAGATAAAATAACAAGAAGGACGGCGGACAAGTGTGAAAATATAAAGCAGTGCTTCTAAAACGGTGGGGCTTGCCCCTAAAGGGGGCGTAGACAATTTTTTGAGGGGACGTGAAGCTAATTTAAAATAAAAATACTTGTTAGATTTGACTAGCCTTATTTTAGATATTTATATCCCACCCACGTATTTTCAACGTGTTTTTTGGATAAAACATTGTTTCGCCTTATTATCTGTTATTTGTAGCTTATTGTTAGCTAGTTTTTTTTAAGGTGGGAGGCGAGACTTGACAAACTCTAAAAAGGGGGCGCAGCTTATAAAGTTTGAAAACCATTGTTATCTAGTATAAAGTATTCAATAAATTAAAATAAAACAGCAACATTTTGAGTGAAATATCGGAAAATATAATCGAAATAAATCGTTGTTTTTTATTCAGTCAAAAGTCCCGCAGGACTGGGAAGAAATTGAAAAAATATAAAGTAATAGCTTTTATGGAGATAACTAATTTTGTTCGCCTACTTTACATCAAGTTGTGTAAAGGGACTGAAACCTATGCACAGGGGGATATTTACTTGGCTAACTCGTAATAGAACTAAAATAAGGAAAACCGGAACAAAATTATGGCCTAACCCTAACCTGGTACACCTACTACGGGAGGAAGTACCGAAATTTGAAATCGATTGGTCTATTAGTTAAAGAGAAAAGCAATTGTTCGCAACAACGATAAGAGTTTAGCAAAACGGTTTAATTTTCATACTTTCATTTCGTGTCCAAAATGATATTTTACAATACTTGAAAAATTTAGTGAACCCAAACAAATAATGAACTACATAAAATGACTTCAAGTAGCCGGGTCTGTCTTCAAGTTCTCTGGTAAGATGTTTCTTCGAGTATCGATTTTCTTGTTTATTTCTGCAACAATGACCAATCAGCAATAAGTCGACAATGGCAATTTAGACAGCCGCTCAGTCAGATATTTAACCATGGTTGTAAACATTGTCTCGTTTCGTTGTTTTGCGTGTTATTTGTCAGTTTTCAGTCGGATTTCCAAAAATTAGTTGTGAAGCAAATATTTTTTGGGCGCTCCGGAGGTATTCGTACCAAGATGACGCACAGCCTGAACAACCCTAACTTGGTACACATACTATGTTCAGGTTGTGCGCCATCTTGGTATGAATATTTCGGGAGCGCCAGTTTTTGTGTCATTTTGTCTTCCGGGGAGCCTTAGTTTAGTTGTAATAATCAAAAATTAGTCGCGGAAATGTTGCGATATCATTACTTATATGCACTTGGTTTACTATTTTGAATAAAAATTATAGTTTTAAACATGTGAGCCAGTTCGTAAGCGCTAACTGTCCAAACACTCTCAAAATAAACGTTGAAACTCCTGCAAAGGTAAAGTATGGAGAGATTTTTTTAAGGGTCGGGAAACGTTAATTCAAAAGTCCAAACAAAGCAATATTATCCGATCGCCGCGAATATTCTTTTCTCCTTTCTCCAAACTGGAAGCTTTTCTCAAAACTTCCCAGATTAGCAGAACAATATTTGATCTCTTATCTGAAATCTCCGATTTTCACTATAAACAGATTTGTCTTCAATGTTTTCGTTGTTACGAAATGCAAAACATCAGTTTAACCTTTGCCGTTAATTTCCTCCTTTTTCCTATTTTAGAACTTTCCATTTCTCCCTCACTATTCTATTTACCAGCGGTTTCCAACCGGGGGCACGTGGACCCCTATGGGGGCAACGGATCAGGTGGGGGTGGGCCACAATGTCAGGAACAAAAATCGATACTCTCGAAGTATGTGAATCAAGATGGCGGACACCGGAACGTAGTTTGTGTGCCAGGTAAGATAAGACCATGATTTTATTCCATATTTCTTCATTATAGTTCTATTACGAGTTCGGGGACTAGCCAAGTGACTTCTGTAGTATTTGTACTTGAACTTATGGCCTAACCCTAACCCGGTAAACATACTACGTTTCGGTGTCTGCCATCTTGGTTCACATACTTCGGGAGTACCCAAAAATCATTTTACCTTTCATTTCACAAGAAAAAGTCCCAGTTTAATTGCTTGATAAGGTCATTTCACACGATGTTTACACTTTATTGAGCGTGAATTGTTTGACCATAATGGGATTTGGAATCTACCAATCAAAATAATATTATAAATATCACTGGAATTTTACACAGGGCACCATGAGTGCTGAAAGCCTCTGGAAAGAGGCCACGACCCATTAAATGATGGGAACCACTGCTATATACTAAACTGGCCCCTAATCAGTAATGAATGTCGAACACCTATATTAGTATTTTTTATACGTAGGTCACCAAAGTCTTAAGTTCTCAGGGCATCTGAAAGTCGTGATCCGGCCTTGCTATCAACAATAACAAACTGGCCACGTATCCTTAAATGCCTGTTCTTGTTGTGCACGGCCTTTTTCAAAGTGCAATTTACATAAAATGTATAATAAAAAATCACATAACCTTAAATAAAGAGTTGAATAACTTGGCTTTTTATAGAATCAAGCCAGACACATAAAATGCTCTAAATAATATCAACACTAACATAATAGCCACTCATTCCTAATTAAAAGTATCTGTTTGCAAAAAGTCTGGGCCAAAATTAGAAGTAAAAGTATATTCACGGGTCGGGAGAGGGGAGCCCTAGCCTCAAGGCCGATACCGGTACATATAATTTAAGATAATTGGTGTTAACCGGTGTAATTGAATTAATACGAATATACATTTGCTTAAACTGCGATAATCACGTAACAATTGTCGGTATCTAGTATCAGAAAAGTAGAAAATTAAAGTGTTATTATTTCACTCAAGTTCGGCGGGCCATATTAAATCGTTACGCGGGCCGTACTTGGGAAACTCCTCTCTAAGCAGATGTCTAAACACCAAATTCTTTTTTCCTGGCGGCGGATTCTTGTACCTTGAGTCATGTTCTGAGTGAACAGAATATCAAATGACTACACAAAATTGCGAAACCATAAATAACGATCTTAGTCAATCTAACTTTATATTTGGCTCGGATAACATTACTCCAGAAATTGAATAGACAATGTCGAACGAAAAAATTATGGCCGTTTCGAAAAGTGGCTTCTCACATATACTTCGATTTCAGTGACTGCCAGAACAAAGCTTTCTTTGTAGTAACCATACCATAAAATATACAAAAAATCATATAAAGCTGATAAAAAAAAAAAATCTCCAACAACTTTATTTTTTGCTATCGATTGGGTTTCACGAGACTAATTACTTCGTCCTCAACGCATTTGCGCTAGTGGATACGTATGATGCAAGGATGCTGTAACAAGAATGAAATACCATAATATGCAATTCAAGAGTCTTGCTGCACACTAACACAAATGTATGGTCATGGTTGTAAACTACTTGTCTGAAAAAGTCTGATTTTGGTCAGACGTAACGTTACAGAAATATATTTGTGTTAGAATGCAGGAAGACTATTGAATCACTTAAAACATAATTTTTACTTGGATTAAATCTTACTACAGCTTCTAAGTCGAATTCGAACACTTTAAATACTATCAACATTAACAAACTAGCCAACCTCGCTGTATTGAACCGCAATTGTCATTCATAAAGTCGGCCCATGCTTGAAACATGGATAATATATCTCCAATTATTTCCCAAATATAAACAAATTAATCGACATACTTAGTCAGCTTAACACTGACCCTGGGGCGTCAAAAAAATGCTAAACTTCGATTTTTATCATAAAGAAAATTCAAACGATTATTTATTGTTTTATGGAATTCCGTTCTGACAGGCGTTAGATTGAAATTAAATTTTCGCTGTTTATCGTCGTTTGTAAAATCAGCGGGAAAAACATTTGACGTTTTACCATTTATCACTATCATCAGAACTTGAAGATGAAGAAGAAATCGGAGCTACCGCTTTCGTTTTTTTTTTGTCGAATTTCTCCTGAGTTTTAGGAGACCCGATATTTCACCCAAAATTTTGATGTTTTAATTTGAATAAAATAGGACACTTTTTTATTTCGTTGCGTTTGACCACCCTTTTCAAGCTAATCCGCCGATGTTTTTAGCAACGATGTGCTCAGCTAAAACCTCACACCGCTAATGCCCCGCGACATTGTAGATTGGAATTAAATTTACGCTGTTTATAGTACCTTATAAAATTAGTAGAACAGAAAATGTGACGTTATAATATTTTTTCTACAATTTCTAATTTTCGATGGAACCCGAAATTTTCACCCAACATATTGCTGTTTGATTCTAACTAAAGGGAGGGGGGGGGGGGGGGGCACTTTTTTGTTTCATCACACTTGACCGCCTCCGTCATCTTTTCAGCAAACTCGGCAGCTAGGACCGTACCGATGAGCGACATTTGTGTCCATGTATTTGATCATTACTAGATCATTTTATTCTGGAGACTAAGAAATTGCACCGAATAGAGTTACCGCCGGGTCTTTATAAACATGATAGATACCGATTTTTGTTTAGAGCCTTGTTATGAGCCAAAGTCGTTTGAATAGAAGCATGGAAATATAAACATAAATCGCGACACGCAATTTCTCAAAGAATGTGCTTTTATATAAGAATGTACACAACATATTTCTCTGCGTTATCCGGTTTTCATCTTTTAATATCCGGTGTAATAAATAGCGACTCTTGCAATTATTGAGTCCAAATTTACAATTCAGACAATTTACCGAAGCGTTAGTGACATAACAATGTCTGAGCGGGTGAAACTTGACACCAAAATTACTGACATTAAGACACGAAATATGAGATCAGATGTTTGTTTATGCGACTTTTTATACGCAGTTCACCCTGAACAAAACTATATCCAAGCAGACACAGTCAGTGGTGGGATTCAGCCGGTTCGCACCGGTTCTATAGAATTGTCTCACAGA